AAGGTCAACAATTACCACCCTATTTTGTTGGTCCCAGCTTTATTTTAATTTGTTCCACCTAAAAGTTTAGTTGTATTGGGGTATATAGCTCGATTTGGTTCCCGGACAGCCTGTATTTTCAACTAGGATGAAAGATCTTAATTTCCGTTTTCCTATGTATAATTTCAATGCTTGTAAAATAGGAATAGTCAAAATCACTTATTGCTGTTTTCAAATGATTAAGATAAGATAATAATAAGATAATAAGATAAAACCTCTCAACAAAAATTGTCGTACTGTAGATCAAACACCTCCTACCAATCTTTATACCCAGTCAACTCAAAGCATCACATCAACTCAAGGCCACAAATCAACCAAGGCCGGTCAAAACATTGTTTGACCTTGGACAACCCAAGGCCACGCACCAACTCAAGGTCAAGGTCGAATCACTTTTCCAGGGCCAAATTCAAGGTCGAAGGACAACTCATGGTCACACACCGACTCAAGGTCACTTTTCCAGGGCCAAAGTCAAGGTCGAACCACTTTTTCAGCTCACCTTTCCAGGGCCAAAGTCAAGGTCAAAAAAATAAATATATTCTAAGAAAGAGTATGAATTCTCTATAAATCTGTGCTAAATTGATTTTGATAGCTCAAACAATTTTATAGTTATTTAAGTATTAAGGGCGGTAAGTGTCGTTTACCGCCCGAGATTGTTTGAAGACCGACGCGTAGCGGAGGTCTTCAATATTCGAGGGCGGTTAACGACACTTAACGCCCAAAATACTTATTACGTTTTATGCACGATCGGGCTATTCCAGTTCAAAAACTTAATTTATAGAATGGCATCCAATTGAAATTTTCAAAAATAGAATTGTCTTCCTCCTATAAAGGCGCGTTCCCAATGAAAAATTGGCAACTTTTGTATTTGCAACGCTTCCAAAAATCACAACTCTTATTTCCATGGTTATCCACCACCGCACATTATCTATAACAATTATTATTATTATTATAGTTGGCTGGACTACTTGTTTCTAATGGTTGGTATGGTTGTTATGGTGCTTCTCAAATTGTTTATTTGTGTTAGTTACGCAAAACTCGCTTTCAAACAATACGGTTGCAAGCTGCAAATACGCTTTTTTGAAATTTAAGGAGAAATATGAGTGAAAATAGTGATAGTGAACTGGAAAATGCTTGGAATATTGGTTGTGACGCTGTGATTCCGGAAAAATCAAGGCAACGGTACGAAAAAACCTTTGAAATCTTTAAGAAGTGGTGCGTTGACAAAAACTGGGCTGTTTCGGAGAAAGTGCTTTTGGCATACTTTGTACACCGAAATCAGAAGTTAAAATCACCTGGAAGCTTATGGGCTGAGTATTCCATGCTGAAGGCGACACTTTTTCTGAAGGAAAATGTTGACATTTCGAAATACGCAACTTTAATTGCCTTTCTGAAAAGAAAAAACGTTGGCCATACACCGAAAAAATCTAAAGTTTTCACAAAGGAGGATTTATACAGGTTTCTAATGGAGGCACCAGATGATAGATACTTGATTTTGAAAGTGAGTTAATTTACCTGTGTTTTTAACAATGCAAAGAATTAATTTGTTGTTTTTTCGTAGATAGGCATGATATTTGGTGTAGCTGGAGCATGCAGAAGGGAGGAATTATGTAATTTGACTTTACAAGACATAGATAATCAGGAAACGTTCATTTTTGTTAAAATACCCAATACAAAAACCAATATTCAAAGGAGTTTCACCATCACTGGTAAAGAAGACCAGCGAGTGGATTATTTGGAGATTTGTAGGAAATATATCGAACTACGACAAAAAACCGCAAAATCAAACAAGTTATTCTTAAAAATTCGAAACGGCTTTTGCACTAATCAAGTTGTAGGAAAGAATACCATAGGAAAATGGCCAGCACAAATTGCCACATTTTTAAATTTGCAAAATCCTTCTCAATACACTGGACATGCTTTTCGCAGAACTTCTGCGACGCTTCTTGCAAATAGCGGCGTAGAAGTATTAGCTCTCAAAAGACATGGAGGTTGGAAATCCTCGACGGTTGCCGAGGGTTATATCGAGGACTCCATAGAGAGCAAATTGAAATTCGCAGACCAAATTTTACACCAAACTCCTTCAACAAGTGGTAAGACTTCGATCCAAACAACATCCAGACAACTAAACGATGAACCTCATCCTGTTTCTCTGATAAATGATACAGAAAATACGGTTGTTCTTGATAAGCACATAAGAAAAGGAGGTGTTGTGATAGATAATTTACATAACTGTATATTTAATTTGTATGTTAACAAAAAATAATAATATTTAAATTCTATTAATATTAAACCTATGTACTATAGTTGTTGAGGTGCATAATAAATTATAATTCTTGTTTTATTTCTATTTCCATAGTTGACAACACGGATTAAATTGAACTAGTGGCCTCCACCAATATTCGAGAGTGTTTGATGACACGAAAATAGCGGGCGGTAAGTAGTACTTACCGCCCGCTCGTGCATAAAAGTAATTGAGCTGCAAAGTTGAACTTTAGTCAAGAAAATGCCAAAAACTTCAAACTCAATTTAGTAGAAAGTTTCAATGTGAAATAACTGAAATTGAACTGATTCAAAAATGAAGTACATATTTTAGTCTCAATTTTCTCGAATTAAAATACAGCTTAAAAGTTATAATTTGAACCTCTCAGAAATTTTATTTGTTGCCTTATTCGCCTCAAGGCTTTTTAATTGAGAAAACTCGCCCGGAAAATTTGGAACTTTGCAGCCAGAGAGGAAAACTTTGAAAAATATTAATTGGAAAAACTATGAATTGATACATTTAGAATTGTATCCTTTGCAAAAATTTCTGCGACACCTTTTGGTTAAAATGATTGTGCGACCGCATACTATATAATTGATATGATGATATGTGAGTAGATTTACTTCATGTATGATAACCCTTTTTTAAGAAAGACTTCACAGAAAGCTTTCCCTAATTATGAAAGGTACTGAGGTCTCAAAGTTGGAACAGAAGTATTGTTCAAGGTTTTTCCCAAGGCCGACGAAATTACAAAATATGACGTCCCCTGCAAGACCGTGTGTGCGGAGCATATTTTATGGTTAAGGGAGCGGAGCCAAAAATTTCATAGAGTAACGGTCTTGCCCTCGAAACTTCACAAAACTATAGCTGAGAAGGGTGTTCAAGGTTTTTCCCAAGGCCAACAAAATTGCTCTACTTCAAGGATGTGGTGTGGTTTTAAATTTTCTTCATTTAATAGAGAATTAAGTGGTATTCAAGAGCAAGCCCAAATTTGTTTATAAAAAATATTTCAAGGTCAAGGGATGAGCGGAGCCAAAAATTTCAATGCCAAGACTCAAGGTCACACACCAACTCAAATTGAAGAACGTGTGCAGTCAGAATAAGTGGGGGTACTCAAGGTCACATTTCAAGGCCAGGGAGAGAAAAGTGGGAGGGGCTCAAGGTCACATTTCAAGGTCAAGGTCATGCGACGTCAGAGGAGTGGGGGGTGAACCTGTTCCGGGCTTTGCATGCTACCAATCAAATATGTGTAAAAAAATAAATTTTGTCAAATACTTAACGCACTAGTGCGTAAAGATTTTTCACTTTACGCACTGGTGCGTGAAGTGATTCACCAGAAAAATGCCAAATTGACAGTGTCGACATTTGACATTACTTTACGCACTAGTGTGTGAAGTGAAATTTTACGTCTTCTGAATAGTGCGTAAAGTGAGTACTTTACGCACAGTAGTAGAAAAAATACCTTTTTTTTTGCTTAGCGCTGTATTCGAATATATGCCCCATTTCCCGCCACGAAAACCTGGCAAAACCACTGCAAACGCGGGTAAAGATCGGGTAATTTCGGGTAATTTTAACTAAAAACTCGGGTAATCTGACTTTACAACATTGGCAACACTGCGGTCTTCTCTCGGAAGTGTACCTTTGTTTCAAGTCAATAGAGTTGTAATTATTCTACAAACTATAAAGTGTTTATGTCGAAGAACCCGTTAAAATTACAGAATTTACTGACAAGGGACAAATCAAGGAATTTAAGAATTATGGCGTTGTGCGTATCTCGCATACACATTACAGCGTTACAATTCTCGTTGGCTTATTATTATGATGGCGGTATTTGTCCATGAGTAAATGCTAAGGCTGGAGCAATTGGCACCGATACAGGTGTTAGATGTTAGAAAATGGTATACGGTGCCAAACCTGTTGTGTAGGTATATTCTACCATTTAATTTAGAATGTCTATACCTATATCATATCATCAATTATATTCAAATTTTTTCTTTATTTCTTTGGCCTTTGCTTTTATTTATAGTTTAATGATAAATCAATTTCGAATACCTACTTACTTGACTTAATCAAAAATTTATTCGTGATTACCAAAGGTTATTTTACAATACTCCTATAGAGTTTTAGATACCAATTTGAGGAACCGGAAAAAACTTATAGATCAAATTAGCATAAAACTAAAACCTGCAATTTTCAGTGCTTCAATTTTAAATCTATGAACGTATAGGACACGAGACGTATTATTTCACATGGTTTCAGTTCGATCGAGCAGGGACAAATTCAGGCAAATTTATTTCCTAAAGTATAAAATTTGAAACAAATAATCCAAAAACCAATTGTCCTTCTTGAACGTACCTTAAAACGGTGTCGGCCAGTTTGCGCTCGACCGATTTGCGCTCCTATCTGAAATCGACCAGTTTGCGCTCTGAGTTTATAATTATAGCAATAATTATACCTACCCTATTACCTTCGGTCGGCCGATGCGCTCTCTTGTAATTATTTTACATTCATACCATAACGTTTTACAATCAACAAACTGTCTAACATACTTAAAATTAATTAAGAATAATTCCCAAAACTAATTAAACTGAGCTAGTTTGAAAAGTCAAAGAAAATCCGATCCTGATTTAATAATAGTTGCATAGGTATATAAGAATTCTCTCTGTCAACAAAATATCACTGAGCTTTAAGTTTGGTGAAAATGTTCACCGTCACAAAATACGTAATGATATGGGCAGGCTTTTGGAAGCTTGAAATAAAAGAAAATTTAAAATTGCCTTACAAAATATGGCAGCTGTACATGATGTGGGCGTATGTTAGTGTCACCCTCGGAATTACAGGAAATGTCATCTATGTTCTTCAACGTGATCCTGTCAGAAGTATACAAATAATAAATTTTTCACAAATATAATAAATAAAACACAATTTCAGTTATAGAAGCCATAGGAGTAGCTATAAGCGACTACACTATCATGTTGAAATTGCTACTTTGTTCACAACGTAAAATCACTCAGCTACTTCAAATAGCTGTCCAAGATGATGAAATTGTATCAAGTAAAAACCCAACCCTAAACCGAATGCTTTGCATTCATAAAAAATCAGTAAGCATAATGGGATTATTCATCGTAACTTATACCTTTGCGTTTTGTTTTTATTTGTGCATCTATGGAGGCCCAGTACAATACAGGATCTATCAAATGAAATTTCCAAACGCCACAGAAAAACCTGAGTACATTCTTTCCATGTGGTTTCCGTTCGATATTCAGAATCACTTTGACTTAGCATTGTTCTTGCAATGCTTCATATATATTCAATCAAGCGCTGCAAATTTTGCTAGTATGGTTCACGTTAACACATTGATGTCTTACGCTGTGATTAAATTGAAGATGTTGGAGTATTATTTTAGGAACTTTGATACATTTCCTCAAGAGATTCATTCTGAAGATCCGGTGTACAGAAATAGGATGGCGGTTAAGAATTTGGAAAACCTCATTAGGAAACATCAATTTATAATAGGGTAAAAATGTCTTTGACCCTTGTCGTTTTTGTGAAAATGATCTTGTATTATTGAATATTTAAAGATTGTTCACGTCTACACAGAAGTTTTCATAGATGGGAATTTTTTTCCAGGTTCATAAAAGACTTAAATGAATGCATGAGAACAACTTTACTAATTGAATTCAGCCTTTCATCGTTAATGTTGGCCTCTATTACTTCACAGATTATTAGTGTAAGTTGATTATTCCAAAATTTTATGTTTATTTAAATGATTAGATTCAATTGCCATATTTTGCTTTTCACTTCAAAACGGTTTCAAAGACCAGTTTTGAATTCACAGGGTAGATAGAGAAAAGTTTTAAAAATTTCAAAAAAAATGAATTAATCATAAATCAAACAAAAAATGCATAACTTTTTAGGGCAACAGAATCGAAATTTTCGTGCCATACGCAATAGCACTAAGTTTTCAGCTCTTCCTTTTATCTTGGCGAGCTGAAGAAATCAAAACACAGGCAAGTAACGTCAATTACTTAACACCAATTTAATTAGCATGCAATTCCCTTCCAGAGTGGAGACATTGCATTTGCGATTTACGAATCCGACTGGTACAATTACAACGCAAAAGTGGGCAAATTAATTTTCATAGTAGTGATGAGAGCCAGAAGAGAGCTGACTTTGGATATCGGACCTTTCGGACCGAATACCCTTGAAGCTGCTAAAACTGTAAGGATACTTTTGTACATTTTTGATTATGTAATGTATGTAAATTTCTAGCGCATGCAAGTGGCTTATTCCTATTTGTCCGTAATATCTGGAAGTAAACGCAATAATTAAAGATTTTATCCAAAAAAATATATATTACCTACTCTAAATAATAGATAACTGCAATAGTAGTTTTTCTTTATAATATTATTAACCATAATTATATGTTATTACACACAGTTATATGTTTCACAAACTTAGCTTCAAATAGCTGTAATTTTAGTTTCAATAAAATATAGCATATAGTAATGTGAACATATACCGGGTGTTTTTCAAAACCCGCTCACCCCTATAACTTTTTTATTTTTCCAGATAAACAAATGAAATTTGGTGTGTTTATTTATTACCCGGATGTGCATTATTTGACGTATTTAATTTTTCACTATCACTTCCGGTTTGACCGGAAGTGACCCTAACTTTCTTATTTTAAATGAGACGCTAGGTATATTTTTCCTCATTTTAATAGAAAACTATATTACGAGTACAATGACACCTCATTTGTCACTTTTAGACATTTCATCATCAAATTATTTAAATTTTTACTTTTTAAATCTAGAGCACCAGCTTAATTTTGCTCCTAGGAACATGGGAAAATTTGTTTTGATTTTATTTTGTATTTTATATCCTCTACAGACTCATTTAAAGATAGTAAAGGCGCATTTTTAGAATTATATCAGTTTTTTCAAATGGAAAGGGTATGGCCCATGAGCATGTTCCAAAAGAGGGTTTTCTAACGAGCAATTCAGTACCACACAATCGCTATAGTTCATCACTCAAATTAAGAATTTTTCTAGCATTCTAAATATTTTTGGAAAATTTTACTTCAATATTTGAATAAACTAGCGATTGTGTGGTACTGAATTGTTTGTTAGAAAATGCTCTCTCGAAATATGCTAATGCGCCATACCCTTTCCATTTGAAAAAATTGATATAATTCCAAAAATGCGCTGCTACTAACTTTAAATGAGCCTTTAGAGGATATAAAATTCAAAATAAGTTCAAAACAAATTTTCCCATGTTTCTAGAAGCAAAATTAAGCATTTTAACTTATTCATGGCGCTCTAGATTAAAAAGTAAAAATTTTAATAATTTGGAGGTGAAATGTCAAAAAGTGACAAATGAGGTGTCATTGTACTCGTCATGTAGTTTTCTATTGAAATGAGGAAAAATTTACCTGGCGTCTCATTTAAAATAAGGAAGTTAGGGTCACTTCCGGTCAAACCGGAAGTGAAAATTGAATACGTCAAATAATGCACATCCGGGTCATAAATAAACACACGAAATTTCATTTGTTTATTTGAAAAAATAAAAAAGTTATAGGGGTGAGCCGGTTTTGAAAACACCCGGTATGTATAAAGAAAAAATATTGTTTATTTTTAACCATATATGAAATGTTGTCATTACTGACTTTTAAAAAATTTGAAAATGTCACATTTCTGTCTTTTCATTTTCCTGCTCCATTACCTGTGCCAGGAAGGGAAATGAGGACGGGAAATTTTTTCCGTCCTCATTTCCCGTCCACGGACGGAAAATGAAGCAGGGAAATATTTCCCGTCCTCATTTCTCTCCTCATTGTCCGACCTCATTTGGTTGCCCCGAATTTTTTTTTTTCAAGAAATAATGGTTAAAAATAAAATAGTATTCAGGTTGGTTTTTTTGAAAAAAGGTTGGATTTAGGTCAAAAATAAACGGCGTTGAAGAAGATAGTGTGTATTTGCCGACGTTTCGGCCTAAATTAGGCCATCCTCAGGGCACTAAAAACAGGATATTCATGAGTCTAAAATAATGGATTATTACATAGTGAGCAGTGTAATTGTAAAGTAGTAAAACTGTGTGAATACAACAATGATAAATTAAAAAAAAAAAAAATTGAAAAGGAATTTTATATAAATTTACTCAGTTATCCTTATGCTTTGATAGTGAGCATTTTCCCATGAATTAAAAATGAAAAAATGATCGTTGGGTTACGTAAATAACATTAACAATCAAAAATCAAATAAATAAATAACATATAAATAACATAAAACAAGGTAAATTAGATTACAACAGGTATTACTTACATCCAAGTTACTTGTCCAGTGTTATTAAATAGAATGTTATATAAATAAGGAACATAATGTTGCTTGACTACGTTCTTTGGTTTAGCTTTATTAACAAACAGGACATTAACATTAGACAGTTACAAACAAAAATAAAATTTTAAATCTTTGGTAGGTACTGGCTTTATCATTTCTAACGTTACACTAAACCATTTGTTTCTTATATGGGTCTTGGTTAGTATCGTATAGTCGTAATCACGATAGAAAGTGAAGTTGACAGTTCGCGTTGACATATCTAGTATTTTTTTTCTTTAGGTTGCCAGCATGCGTAAGCGTTTTCATTCCTCCAGCTGGGATAAACGACAGGGCGTATTTAGGAAAATGATATGCATTCCAGATTTATTTTTAATTTCTTTAAAGGAAGTCAAGTTATTAAAATCCTGCATAGTAATATTAAACATCTGTAATAGAACAAACGTAATATTTTCTAATAGTTGTTGCTGTAGCTGGCCGCCCAAGTACTCTGTTGATTTTTAAAGGTTAGATGGTATATGCGAGCGGTTTATTGATGCTTCCTTGGGTAGCTACAGAATTAAATGCTGAAGGGGGTTTACTTGCAAAAAAGAGAAACAACTGCAGTATTTCCACACATATTATACATATTTAATTTTAAATAAATGAACTCAAATTTTTCCAATAATAATATACAGTACTTAAATTTCTACTCAAATTTTCCATTAATAAAATTATACAGTACTAAAATTTCTACTCAAATTTTCCAGTAATAAAATTATACAGTACTAAAATTTCTACCCAAAAACTCTTCTCATGTGGCTTACATCAGGCTTTTCCATGAGGGCTCTTCTTGGATCATCCTTTCTAAAGGTAAATCCTAACGTGAGCAAAACCCTGCCTAAACTTGACTGGGAACCGTAATAAATTTCACTTTCTTTCAGCCTATCACTTACAGTCTTAAGGGTAACATATGCAATTCTAAGAACGAAAAATGCTTGTTTAAATATTGTAGTACTTACTGTAGCAACAGCAAATATTAATGATTTTAGTTAGTATATCTTGTTCAATTAGCTTTGAGACTTTCGTCAATAATGACACCGAGTGTATTCTTATGGAATTTGTTGGTGACACCATTATAACGTAACTCTTAAAGGTAATTGAACAAAGTAACTTAGTATTACTATTTAACACCAGTCCCTATAACAAAAAGACTACTACCCAAAAATGAACTAAAATTACCCAGTCTAGTTTGTGTTAGTGAAATGGCTTAAACTTATAATTGAAGAAGAGAGGAGTATGCATTCTGTGTAATAATTTATTAAGAAAATCCGCCGAGTGCTTCCGGCCTTAAGTCATCACCAGTGCTGCTTCGTCGCAGGTACAAGCATCACACACAAGAGACAACTGACACAAGTGGATGTGCATAATTAAATTTAACTATTAATTAATCAATTACCTGTGTAGTAATGGGTTTTTTACCAAAAACTGCTAAATAATATAAAAAAGGAAGAATAACAGTAAGAGGTGGGCGACAGATGGGACATTGCCCCTCTAAATAATTTATACAAGCATAATATTACATGATACATTAAATAGGAAGTTTAATTAGTGATACCATGTTTAGAGGTACCAAAGTCCACTAGAAAATATGACAACACAAAATGCTAAACATCTGAAAAACAATAAACCCAACACACAGGATAAAGCATTCAGCAGAAATTACAGAAGCTCTGCAAATATCTGAACCCAAACTGTGTAGGTACGTCAAAGAGGGGATAATGAATACTTATCCGTATGAAAGACTCCAATAACTCAGGTACCTTTATTGAAAAGCAAGAAAACAATTCTAAAAAAAAAAAAAAACATGAAATTATGGAATGAAAGAAATCCTAGCAGCATCTTAATTTGTGTTGACCTGAAATAAAAAATAGTATTAAACTATGAAAAACAGTTTAATTTGATCTGAGAAGTTCCAATGTTATCAGGTGTATTCTTTCGGAATAATCTACTGGTAATGTTAATATGAAGTAACATTGAAACAACTCTATGTTCAAAGTAGAACATCAACTTACTCTCTGTATACATTTTGTATATCTCTAATCGAATAGTCTGTTTGACGCTTCCACTTGAATCAGTTGTCTGCAACTTCTTACGCTTCCGCGTGACAGGGGTAATTTCAGACTCAACTGAACCATCCTTATATTTATAGACAGTGGTCTCACTTAGTTTCAAAACCTTAGCTGTCTCCTAGAAAGGCAATGGAACAGTAAATTACAATTTATTTATTAAAAATTAACAAAAGCCACTCGGTTCGAAAATATCCCCTTCCAAAACTTGTACCTACATTTACTGAGATTAAGACGAAAACGTTTCTATGATCAATCAAGACTAACTTGATTGTTATTAACTTACAGTTATGGGATTTTGATCTTCATGAGACACCTTGAAATGGTTGTATACGAGTTGTATAAATTGCTGAGCCACAGGGTTCCCATGAATTATTGGTCTCTACAAAAGGATTATTTGCTTATTTTTACTAAATTTGAAAACACTACCTTGTCACTTTCCCTCTTGCTTAGAAAAAAAAAGATTCGTCTCGTAAAGAAGAAGCATCTCCAAGGTTTATTGCTGTTCCCTGAAAATTATTGGCGATGAATTATGACAGTGGTAATTTAAAGTTGCCAATTTTACCGTATTTTCTTCACACCTAAATCATCTGAGATGCTGGAACAGAGCAAAGTCTCCAGGACCCTGGTACGATCGGACTTGTCCGGGGACTTTTTTGTCATCGCTAATTAAGAAAACGGCACTTTTAAAATCGTAATATTGTGTAAGTATTAGGTTTAACTTACCTGAAGAAGATAAAATAAACCAGATAAGTCTTGATAGAGTCCAAAGTGAACACTTATAAAAAGACAAAACACTTAAATCCGAACTAAAACCAGGTTAGAAATGAAACGCAACACCGAAACACAAAGGCACAGAACACTACATAAAAAACCATAAAACCGATTGAGA